GTGCTAATATAAACATTCACGTGTCTGATTTATATCTAATTCCTTCTTTTATTCTATTTTCCCCCTCTACTATGTACGGTCTTTTAGGGTTATTATGTGGAGTTCTGCTACGTTTTTCATTGCCTACAGATATATTTCCATTTCTTCTCTTTTTATTTCGGAAAGCCTCACCTCCAGTCTGTTACGGCGGGAAGGCGCTATTTATCAGAGGAAGAATACCCTCATTGGTTAATGAACCATTTAACTAACGCAGATGAGAGTGATGTTCATTTTCTAAAGAGTTAGTGATACTTCTCTGTGCTTCGAGATTTACCATACTCAGTCTTCATTTTAAATTTTGTTACTTCTTACTGTAAATAGTCTTTATTGTGTTGTTTTATTAATTTTAAACTTTATTGATGGATTTTATCAATTAAAACTTTGGAATAATTTGAATATTGCTTCTGAAAATTATTTTAGAAGATAAGCAATTTTTTAATTATATTTTCATGTAAAATAAAGAAAAAAACATTATTAAGTGCTAATTTTAGCATATATAACAGCGCAAGTAATAATCTAAAATGATACCAAAAATTACGATGCTAGAAGTGAAACTTTTTTTTTTTCTGATTTTTTTAATAAAAGTAGGCTTAGTGATTCAAAACCTCCATTCTGTACGATGACTGCCTTTGATTCCCTTCCGTCCCGCACGAGCGTCTTAAACAAAGGTGCGCTGGTGCAAAAGGGTTAACTGAATAACAAATCAATTATTCTTAATTCAGATAGCACTAATTGTAGTCTTTTAGTCTATAAGGTATCATTAAAAAAATCTATTTTTTTTAACACCCAGAGAGAAATGTTTGTTAAAATTTTTCCTCGTCAACGTTTCTTAATGCATTTAACGTAAATCTGTAATCATTGTCAAGTGTAATGTCAACATAAATGGTTGCCATACACTTTGTTATACTAATATTAAAAAAAAATTGTTTAGGCATCACTGCATGAGTCAGTATTCAAGTGGCTTTGAGGTCCAGGTATTGGAGGTCTGGATCTTGGACTTTTTACTGTATATGCTGTCATTGTTATCTCAGTGTTTTCAAAATTTGAGTAAATAAGATAGCAAGTTTTACAGTGCAAAGGATATCAATACATTTTAGTTTTAATAATAAACTTGGAAGTTGAAATATCTCTCAAGAGTATCAGTACACATAACCAAATAATACTTGCAATAGCAGATGCTTATCTGTTGGTGCCTAGAATTTTAATAGGTGCAGTGTAATTTCATCAATCATGATCTTGCCATCCAAATACGTTTCAAAACACCCAAAACAGTTGCTTGTAATTCAGATTGGTACTAATTTTCAGCATTTGTTAGCAACCACAGTCAGTTTTAATGCCAGGTGCTGCCAGTATATGTGTAGGACTTCGTCAGATTTATTTTCTGATTTCATCGCTTTAGTAGTTTTTTTTTAGTTCCTTATCATCTAAGAACTGGAAGCAAATAAATCTTGGATTAAATTATAAACCTCGTGCCTGCAAGCTTTTTCAACATGCTGAGGAAAATGATCTTCCTTCTTTGGGAGAAAAGAATTCTGGCTTTTGCCTTAAGTACTGCTGATTAATTGCATAGTTTATTGAGCCAAAATGTGAAAAAAATTTCATGATGGTTAATATTGATTTTAAAATCATTGAAAGAGATTTATTTGAATGTGAAAAGCATTTCAAAAGAATTCGATTTATGCTTGATGCATTTTCTGTAATTTTAATAGAAGAAAAATGGAAAGAATGATTAGAGATTCAAGTTGGATTCATTTCCCTTTTTCGGATATAGTATTTTAGTGTACAGATTATTCAATACACTAAAATTAAACATTGATAAAAGAAGAGAATTTAAATTTACTGCTATTAAACTAATTAATTGGCAAAGCCACTTATAAAGAAAAGTTATTAGCAATACAATAATCAATCAAATTACTAGTCAAAAATTTGTGTACAGAAAGACTAAATAGTTGAACTAATTTTACTTACACAAGTTTTTATAGATAATCTTATTCATTTCCATGTCATTAATTATTCACTTAATAAGCAGTAATAAATTATGATGGCCATATTGTAAACCATATATGAAAGATGAGACCAAATGTGTTTACTTTAAAGTTTGTATATCTTGTATTTAATTGTAAATTGCATTAATATAAATAGCTCTGCAGCTTTCCTTTTATTAACGTAAGGCCATTTAGTTTTGGAATACCCGAGTATCGCTGATTCTGATTGACGACTTTTGACTGTATTCTTAATATTTCTACCACATTAAAATTCATCCACATGCATCCTCTGTGTCATAACTGTTCGGCTGTGGCAGTGAGCAGCTTACAGAATGCTTGTGAATAATTTTACTTCTTTACTACCAATTCTTATATACACTTTTCTTACACTCTCATTATTTTGATGTACTATCGGCATTATCTGATGGCTTCCTGTATTTTGCATATTATTTGTGAAGATGTGTGCAATAATTCTACTGAAATTTTTACTTTAGAGTTCGATTTCCGTGTGATTCTGAATTATCCTTAATTTATGGACATGAGTGTATTTTATGAATGATAAACATGTGCGATAATGCCTTTCTGTGTTCAAGTGTAGCAGTTGTTTTGCTAAAATCCTTGGTGCATTACTTTCCTGAGTCACATTTTCAAAGGTGCATCACATTTGTGGTAACTAAATTTATTGATAGCTTCTTACAATGCTGATTTTTTAATATTTTTTATGAAAGCTGATAATTTGTTGAATCTATTTAAAATTAGAATGAGGCTTATTGTTGTGGTAATGTTAATTTATGTCAGGATGATAATCATTTCATAACACACGTACCATTTTCTGATTTCCAGTTAGCTGATGTTGAAAAGGTAGCAAAAAAATAAGAAAAGCTAAATGGTACGATAGTCTTTCAAAGCAAAGAGGTCTTGTAATAAAATGACCTTGCAGTATTTTAAAAAGAATTATAAAATATATTAGTTAACTTTCTGTTCAAAGACTTTCCTATTTGTATCAATTTTTTGTAAAAGTCTCAAACTTGGCAAATTTTCTAACCTATCTATTAAAAAAATGAAACTTTCCTCTTCATCACAGAACTTCGTAAGCACTATGCTCAATAAATGTTTCCTAGAAGCCAGCTGCAAATTTATCATCAGATGCTCTCAAGATGCAGCAATTAATTGCAAAGATAAATTATTTTTCTTTTCCACAAGTGCTTTATAAATTTTTCCTGGATTTAGTCAGAGACATGGGAAAATATCAATCTATAAATTCATTTCCAAGTAATTCTATAAGTTTTACTCCTTCAAACATAGAACATTTAGGTTTAAACTTAATAAAATTAATTAATATTGTATTAACTGGAATTTTAGCTCTACAGGACTATAGGAGAAGCTACTTTTTTTAATTGAACATTTTCCATCCACAGTCATGAAACTACTTTTCATCAGACTGACCGACTTCTTTAGGAGCACTACATTTTGAAATATATGTCTAGGATCAATGTACAAGGTGATTCAAAATGTATATAGTACAGTTGGCCATAACTCAGAATTGCACAAATTGTAGAAGGAAGTTCAAAATTCCATTGTGCAAGTGCAATGAATCAGAAGCCTGTGCATGGACGAGTTCAGATTATGCAACAATCAGAAATCCATTCTTTGCAACCATATCATAATGAAAAAGGCAAATCCTGAGCAAAAGGCATTCTGAGTGTTAGAATTTAGCAAGTGTGATTCTTACAATGCAGAGATTTCATCAGTGGTACATTCAAGCGCCTCAAAATGCCAACAACATACTCAAATGTCATAAGATGTTTCTACAAAAAAGATGGTTATGCAAAGGAAAACTTACCAGACAGCCATGTGTATCACTGGAAAACGTTGAAAGAATTCACCTCAGGTATGAATGAAGCCTACAGAAATCCGATGCACAAAGCCAGTAGGGAGTTCTAAATATCGTAAACTGTGGCTTTTCATTCTATGTAATTCTTATTTATAAATTATTTTCATTTAAATAATTATAGCCATTTGTAATCTCTGCATTCATGTGGAATCACCCTGTATAAGGAAATAAAGCTATGACCATGTTTTTCAAACACCCTGTACATGAATCTTCGTTAACAGAATGCATAGTTACTTTTCTTAGTTTTCTGCTGAATGGATTGCCACAAAACACGTGAAGGTTATCTGTTGCAGGCCAGAAATGCTTCATGTGTATTTCCAAGGAAAACAGGTTTTTATTTGCATTAAACATGGTTGAAAACATAAAAGACCCATGCAAACAGCACATATCCTAGAATTTAAGCACGGATTGAACTACTAGTGTTCTGCTGTTATCTATTCAGCCACTGAAAAGATTGCTTGTCAAAAGAACTTGGTATTATTTTACTGCAAATTAATAACCCTTACTCAAACTGAATAATGCAAATAGTAGATTGCTCACAGAAACCATTTGTGGTGTAACTTTCAAGTGAAGTCAGTTTCAAAACACTTGAATAAACTGCTTGCTTGTTTTAAAATTTGAAATTTATTCATATTTTACAGAACTTTATTTTCATATTTGTTGGTGGTGTAAAATATAGAATTAAAGCAGTAGAAAAATCTATGAAAATCTAACCTGCTATTAAATCAGGTAGAACATACTTTAGAACACTGCAAAATAAACCATCATCTTCAAAATGCAATTCTGTTATATGCTAGTTGAGGACTTCCATATTTTAGATATTGTTTTTAAGTGTTATTTTAACTGAGGCCTTCAAATTATGCTGCTATGAAGAGTTTTGTGGCAAATATAAATTGTCAATAAATCACAATATACTGATTTTTATGATATTTGTGAAATTTTCTGTATACTATTGAATACTCTTACCATAAAATGTATTTTTCTTCGAGTTAGATATTTACTGTGTTTGTCATCCAATAAGACATTGAAAAATTTGATTTGTATTTAATACTTTTCTCTTATTGTTATCTTTCTATTTTCAGAAACATGGCACTACTAGCAAACAGTTGAAGCCTTCTAAGCTTGATGTAGAAGTAACTAAACCTTATATATAACTAAACCTTATATTGCATTTAACAATTGTTAATTACACACTATTTTGCATGTATAACTGCATTTTGTTGAACTCACCTAAAAAGTGTGAGTGGAAACTGATAAAATTTTGCATATGCAATAAAAATACATACTATGTTTAAAAATTAAAAACGTACCTTTTAGATTGTTAAGGCTCTTAGAACATTTAGAATTTCATGAATATTACACACTATATTAAAATCCATGACCATCAGAAGAGACTATATTGTGAGACAGCGAGAATGTCTGAAGGTCATATGGCACTAAATTGTAGACTTGCATTGAAGCAGGTAATAAAAAACTCGTAAAATTTAACTTAAAATAAACTTTTAAGTTTATTTATTAAGTTTGCAGGGGATGTTGAGAACAATCTAGAGTCAAACATCACACCAGTCATTCATGTTCCTGTTTAGGGTATCCTGTATCTGTGTGACCAGTGTTAGTACTTTCATACTAGATCTAGTACTTTTTTTAAATGTTTAATGTTCTAGTATATTTTTCATCAAATTTAATAGTTTCTTCCATTTATGTAAAAGCTGTATAAATAACATTAGAGTCTGGGGTCTCACAGCAGGAAGATGGTACTAAACAAACCAAATCAATTTTAACTGCACTGCACAATCTCTTAATTAAAACACATTTTCTGTGCTTATTCACACTATCAAAAGTAATCTTTTTTAGTTACTTTTAATTGAATGTTACCTTCACTTTCTGATTTCATCAATAAAAAATAAAATAAATGATAATGAAATAAATACCGTACAAAATGCTAATGTGTTATAGTAGTACCAACTGTTAAAATAAATCCAGCATGGCAGTGTTCCGTTTTTAGAGAGGGGGGAAAAAATGTTTATCCAGAGGTGAGAATAGAAGCTTCTTAAACAAGTTTAAATTAGAGTGTAACTTCAGAAAAAGACAATAAAACATGTTAAGATCAAATACTTTTCAGTTTGTTTTGAGATCTTGCTTTTAAGTTTCGAACAAATAAATTTCAAAGATTTTGTATTAAAAAGATTGAGATTAGTCAAGCTAGATTCTGGAATAGGTAAATCAGAATGTAAACTGCTTTGAGTTTTCTAAATCTTACTGAAGAAAATAGTTATGAAGATTTTGGTTAAATAATGGATTGAGGACTGTAGAAGCTCTGAGAAAAGGGCACGGATTTTTAATTTCTTGAAATAAAGGGTATTGCCTAATTTAATAGTATTAGTTAAAATTGTCTTTTCTTGACAGTGACAGTGAATACAAGACCTACAAATCACCTACAACTTGAAAAATGTTGCCTTTCAGTTAAAAAAATATTGTCAGTGACTGATTTTTACTATTTTTGATGAGCTGTTTTATTTTGCAAAGCCTACAAAACATAGCTAATATATATTTCCAATATATTCTTCTGTATGTATGTAATAATTATATTGAATGAAATATCTTTATGTAAATTGCATATGAAATAACATTAATTTCTGTATATAATTAGAACAATTAACTAAAATTATAGTCTTCGTTAATGATTGCTGTGAAAGACTTCATTTTCGTATTTGTCAGATGTACAGATGATGTCAGATGTAAATTTAATATTTTTACATTGATTTTGTATATGGTAATAAGTTGGCAGTATCATAAAATTTCCTAAGTAAAATAAAAGTCCATAAAATGTCCTAAGTAAGACAAAAGCAAATGTTAATTAGTACTCCCTCCCCACAGATCCAGTAACATTCTCATGCATAAGTTAGTATGAAATATTTTTGTGGAACAGTCACCTTGACCTGTGTTTGTTTTAAATTCAGGTCCATTTTTATGCTTACATCATTTACTACTTTCACTAAAACTGTTTTATTCTCATAAGTATATGCAGTTATGCAGAGAGAAGAATTGGCAGAAGACAGCACTATATTAGATTTAATGATGAGTCTCAATTTTAAGTTCTACTTGAAGTCTCATGCTTCAAGCAAAGGTAATAAAACATCCTAATGAGGATAGTAAGTGGCAAGCAGCTAACATCATGGTGCAGAAGTTACTAATTAATATTTAAGTAACTATTAATGCAGTAAGACAACAATCCAACAATTTGATTTCTTGAAATTTAATAACAACTGTACCAATTTTTTAAAAGCGTTTCTGCTGCAGACTCAACAAATTTCACATTTTATATGAAAATATAATTAATTCATTTGCTTTGCCATCATGCAAAAAAATTGTAAAATTTCATAAGTATAATCAACAAATTTAAAACTTTTTAAAACACCCATAAAATTAAATTTTTAAGCAGACTTTCAGTTTAATTGCTCCACCAATGCATAAGCAAAATAATTCTATTGTGATTTCTATAGTATGAAAAGTGTTAAGTCTGCTTTTTATTTTAATTCATATAAATAATTAAACTTCTCCCTGTTAAGGCATAATATTCAATTTGTGATAAATAATTTTATAAAAACAAATTCATATTCAATATATAGGAATCTCTTTTGATCCTCTGCAAAAAGTGTTTAAAACTCACTCAGTTTGAGAAAACCAGCTGATAATAAGCAACTGCTATAAATGCATCATGTGCATGAGTATCGTACACCATACTTTGCAGATGACGTGACGGACTTCCTTAGCTATTGAACTGTAAATAATTCATTAAAGTTTATCCATTTATGTCATTTCTGAGTTCTGTACCTTTTCCATCAATAAATTCTTTTTAAAAATGCAAGCAGATTTTTTTCACCAAAAGTGTAGGAAAAATGAGGAGCAACATGTCATTACATGAATATCAAACCAAGAGTTATGAAATACCATTGCCTAAGATATCAGAAAATTCCATTAATGAATAATTTATCTTTTATGTTTTGTTAATACTAAAATATTAGTTTCAGGTACATAATAAAAAATGGTTTAAAATCTGAAAAATAATTTGCTATATGTTTTAATGGTAAGTGCTTTATTTTAATTAAAGTGTACTAATGTTTAAAATGTTATTTTATTTTCATTAGGAGCAAGCAAAAATTGCTAAATTAGGTCTTGAAATGAAACTATTAACATCTGAAATAGATGCAGAAACAGAAAGATGGCCTTCATCTGAAAATGATCTTTGCAAAAGAGCACGCAGCATGTCTCAGATGGCATTTTCCATGTATCAGTTTACTCGAGGAGAAGGTGACCTTAAAACAACTCAGGTAAATTTTCTGATGTCTATGAAATAGAGCTTTAAGTGTAATTGTTATATAAATGGCATACAAAGAGCTGGAGAACTTTTTATTTCTTAACACTTATTCTTTCAGTTTTGCATGTCTGCCTTCACAAAATCATACTCAAACATCAAATACTACCATGGTGTAATAATGGAATATTAGTTTATGTTATAGGAAAATGTGTATGTCTGATCATCTCTCTTTTAATAATCTTTTTAATTACTCATTCTGATTTGGCTATGGGACCTTTCTCATCTAATAGTATAAATTGTTTGTATTAGCTTTCTGGACTGCATCTTTCAAAATTAATCTATTTTATGTTTTATGTTCTTATGTAATCCTCCTGCAGTAAGACAGCTCTTCTTATCCAATCACAGATCAAAATTTGAATGAAGAACTAAGTCATTAAATATCACTGCTACTGAATTTGCAGCTCTTTTTCCTGCTATGCTTGCTGTTGCCAACATGTGCTTCTCATCACTTTTTTTAAAGCATATTTAAACTTCTCATGCACCACATACTTACAGAGGCACAAGGCTTACAGAGGTAAGTAAAAAAAAAAAAAATACAACACAAAATAAAATTTCAAATTCACAGATGAAATATGAGAAATAAATATATGGGATGAAGAGAATGCCATTTTATCTTGAACAAGCACATGGGAAAGGGGGGGAAGGAAACTGAATGTTTGAAGAGTTTAACTGAGTAATGAGCTCTTTTCTTCCTTTGATAAGCTTTGAACAGGAGAACAAATGTTCAACATTTTGCACTCCCTCAAAGCTACAGGAACACAAATCTGTATTTAGATAGCCCAAATATCTTCAAATATAAGTTGAAATTGTCATGCCCAGTTATAAATTTAGTAACTTCAGAATTGCAGAAAAATTGTTTATTATTCAGTCTGTGAAGAATAGAAGGGAAAAATAATTTAGTAGAATTTCTGTATAACTCATTCGACGTGAGAGTTGTTTCTTTCCAACTCTGTTTGCCATTGGGGTGTGAATGTGAAGATTTGTTTGCTTAACCAATCAGCCCTTTCATTTCCTAGATTGCTATTGTGGCCATGTACCTGATATCAATACCTTTATTATTAAGGTTCTTTCAGAATAGCTTGAGAAGTGAGAATTTATTACAAGAGAAGATATTCATGAGAATATACGGATGAAAGAGAAGCAGTGCAAATAAGTAATTTACCATTTAACGAACTATGATTAGATATCCACTTAATCGTTTCGTAAATGTGTAGTAATTCGACTTGGAAATCACTGCATTCATTTGGAATTCTAATGAGTTTGTATTCCGGCTCAGAACCATGATGAAAAATGATATAAGTTAGCCCAGCTTGGTTATTAATTTTACTGCTCTTTGTATAACATACAACTAAGAAACTATCTTCAATGGAATTTTCATAAATTATAGTTTGATTTCGCAAATGATCAGCAGGGTGAAGAAGATTCCCAAGCAGCACCTTGGTATCTAAAAAATATATTTGCTGATGGTATCTTTAAACTCTTTGTCATGTAAAACATGAAGATCAGTCAGGGAAACCCTGAAATTGCAAAACAGGCTTCATAGCTAATTGCTTTTAGGTCACATACAACTGTTAGTAAAATTCATATGTGAATTCTGAAAAGAATATGAGAATTAATCCTCTTTCTAAAGCTGTTCCCTGTACTCTAGAAGCAAAGCAAACTAAAGGGACTATACCTTGTTTATAAATCATACCAATAACATTAGATTTTAAACCAAATGTATTGCAAGAGACACGATTAAGCCTTCTGAGTATATTTTCAAATTTTTTGGATAGCTACATAGGATTTTTCCAGGAAAACTCATGCTCAGTAATAATGCCTAAATGTTTAATTTCGTTCACTGTTTCGAGTATAATACTATCAAAGTACACTTGCTGGTTTGTACAACTCAATTGCTATAATTTTATATTTATAAGGATTTAACTCCACATCTGCTCTCTAGACCAATCTGAAACCCTATTAAGGGTGTTCTTAGCCATATTATAAAGAGTATTGGGACACTTTTCTTGAAAACAAATCAGTAGATCATCAGCAAAAGCAACTGTTTTACAGCCTGGACAGTCTGAGAGTCTAGTGAGATCATTCATAATTAAATTTCACAGTAAGAGTTCAGAAACAGCCTTGTGGCCAACCTTTTTTCAAAAATGTGGAAAGATGAAACATGGCCAAGGGAGAGCAATTTAAGTTTCTTTATTCTGTAAGAACCAGATCATTCTCTTTAATAAACAGTTTTTCTGTGTATTTTCTTAAAGCTGAAAAAAGACTAATGCATCTCAGATTATTTAAATGCAGAATCTGAAGACCACTTTTCTTAGGGATTAAAACATTAGCTTCTAGCAACGAGGAAGTGAATCCAGCTTCAGACAAGTATTAAAGGTTTGGAAAGCAATTTAAAAAATGTTCTATGAACTTGCTTCAAAATTTCATTTGAAATGGAATCAAGACCCACAGCTTTATTGCATTAAGGTTTTCAATAATGCTATTAATTTCTGAACTGGTAAAAGGGGATCCTAATTAGCAATATAGTTTATAGAAGTTTCAGTCCTTTTCGTTCTGTGAAACAAATTATCCTGGCTAAATGGGTCAGTGGGAAAGCTTCCATTAAGAGCCTGATATACTGTTTTTTCTATCGACTTTGTACTGTTACCAGATGGGAGACAAATTCCAGTAACTTCATTTTTTTTCAAAAAATTGACTTTATACAATTCATATACATATTTTTTCCAAACATTTCTTTCATGAACATTCATTAGAAAATCTCTCCAAGGGTTAAGTTTTGTGTCCTGGAGCTTTGAGCTCCAACTATGTCTGAAGTGAAAATATTTTTGCTTATATAGGTCAGAGTATGATTATGATTTTGTGAAACCTACTACATCTAGCAGCATTAACCTATTTTCTCATATATTTGATTGCAGTAGTCTGCCAAAGTACCTTGTGAACTCACCTTTTTAGCAGGCCTTTGTTGCATTATAGAGAATCACAGAAAGGCATGCTTATGTGTATCAATAAATTCTGAGAGCTCCTCAACCAACTGCTTATATGAGTAGTAAAAAATATAAACTCAATTTTGCTGTTATCAGAAGAGATTAATGTGTCTGGTGCCAGCAAAAAATATCGCTGAAAAGGTCAGCTCTCATAACCGTAATGTCAGTATAGCTTGAACCTTGAATACTACAGAAAGCAAGACCACAGTCTCCATTGATAACAAACAGGTTATTCATGCTTAAAAAAATTCACAAAGCTTAGCACCTTAGGAATCTGAAACTGAACTATGCCAAATTTCAGATTTATTATTGGCATCAACAGCCTAAATCAATCTCTCATAGTTTTTCAAAGCTAATGCTCCATTAATTTTGTGCAAATTTAGATTTGCAGAAAATTGTTGGTATTTCTATTGGGTTCAAAGTAATATGAAAAAAGATAAAATCATGAGTATTGAGATAACATTAAAAACCACATTATAATCAAGGTTATTAATGCCAAGCAGACTGGAGCATTCTTGATTCTATACATAATAGTGGCTTTAATGGTATCAGTACTGCCATCAAAATAAATTCAGTAGTGGAAAAGGGCAAGTTGAAAAGAGAGCACTGAACAAGAGCGATATCAGTGTCAAAATTTTCCATATTTAAGCTGTTAAGTAACTTTCGAATGATAAAGATCAAGTTGAATAATTTTAAAAACAGAAAAGGGGAAGTTAGCTATAATTAGTTTGAGAAATAATTCTTTTCTTCATAGAAATATGAGAGGGACAATTCTTGGAGAAAGGCTTGTGCTTGACATCAACTTTCTTGCCAATATCTGTGATTTTTCTATTATACTTGATGCAATTTATGCTAGCTTGAATTTGACAGTGCTCACTTTTGCACTCGTTTACACATTTGAAGCAAGCAGTAGAGTTTCTGCAGACAGCTTCTTTGTGATTGTAGCCAAGGCATTTAAAGAATCTATTTATTGAATTAAATACTCTACTTTACAATTGAACCACTCAAAATGCAAATATCTAAATGACAGCCGCTGGCAGTATAGCTCAGGTTTCATTTTGACAACTTGCATTGAGTTTTATGATTTTTTAAGAGTAAAACAAAATTTCATGTTATTAATATATTTAGTATCTCAAAAAAATATCAGGATTTTGGTCAAAGAGAATTGTTAACACATCTTTATGTTCAGTTTCATTTGGCACATTTGTAATGAGTAGACGAGGAATTTTCCACCTTGGAACAGAAGAAATTACTTCAGGTTTGTTCTTGATTTCATCTTTAATTTTACCACAAGGAAAAGCGTTGCACTAAAATTCTGTTATTAGAAATCATTCTAATATTTTAATGCCTAATTTCTTTTCTGTATGATTGATTTTTTTTCTTTCAGAAGTTTTTTACATCGAGAGATTAAAAAATTTTCTAATCCAGCAGCTGCCAAAACAAGTAAATTGCAGTCATTTGACATTTTGTTTACATTTTCTCACCTAAATAGCAATACCATATCCACATAGAAAAGTATCATAATTGAGGCTTTCAAACATGCCTCACAAGCTTCACAATAGTTAACAGATTGTAATCTGTCGAAATTCTTAATTATAAAATATTTTAACTCACTCAAAGCAGTCCTAACATGTTCTCGCAGCTCACTATTCATATTACATTTAGGTAAAAGTGCTGTATTGATAGCATAAAGGTTTTTCAAGATACATGAGAAATGTGCCAGGCTTTTTCATCTTGCCAGATCATCACTTTGCATTGTCCATTGTTTGAAGATGTAAAGAGCTGTATAAAATTTGAAGGTGCATAGTGCACCCGTCATGGTGATATGTCATTAAAGGACCATGGAAATAAATATTACCTCTGTTGTAATGATTTGTTTAGTAATACTGAGAAACTGCTTGTGTAAATTAATACTGTTATTACTAAGAATTTCTCAGAATATTGTAACGCATGAAGTCTTCATTTCATG